CATCCATTCTCCCGTCAGTCCTCCCATCCAGCCTCCTGTTCATCCTCCCATCCATCCATCACCCATCCTCCCTTGCATCCTCCCTTCAGTCCTCCCATTCACATCGCCTCCCGTCCGACCTCCGGCGTCTGCATCCTTCCTCATCCATCTCCTGTCCTGTCCTCCCGCTCCATCCTTCCCATCGCCATCCTCCCATCCATTCTCCCCGTCAGTCTCCCCCACTCCAGCCTCCTGTTCATCCTCCCATCCATCCATCACCCATCCTCCCATCCATCCTCCCTTCAGTCCTCCCGTCGCATCCTCCTGATCCGGCTTCCTCCATCCCATCCTCGCTTGTCCGCTCCTTCTCCGTCAGTTCTTCCGCGCTCATCCTCCCATCCATCCTCCATGCGGTCCGTCCCATTCCCGGTCCTCCCTTCAGTCCTCCATCCATCCCCCCTCCCGTCCATCCTCCCCATCCATCCACAGTTCTCGTCCCATCCGTCCATGCCTCCCGGGTCCAGGTCCTCCTGTCACCGTCCTCCCATCCATCCGTCCTGTCAGTCGCATGTATTCCCATCCATGGTCTCCCGTTCTCCGCAGTCTCTCCCTATCCAGCCCCTGTTCATCCTCCCATCCATCCATCACCCATCCTCCCCGCTCCTGTTCCAGTGCCTTCCCATTCCATCCTCCCGGTCCATCCTCCCGATCCATCCTCCCGTCCATTCCCTCCCATCCATCCTTCCCCGGTCCATACCTCCTCGGTCCATGCGTCGCCACCACTCCTCCTGCTCTGTCCTCCGTCATCCTTCCCATCCATCCTTCCTGTCCGTCCCTCCCACCATCCACCTGTCCGTCCTCCCGTCAGTTCTCCCGTCCATCCTCCCGGTCCATCACTTCCCATCCATCCTCCCGTCCTCCTCCCATCCTCTCCTGGTCTGTCCTTCGGCCGTCCATCCTCCCATCCATCCTCCTGGCTCCGCTCTCCCATCCCATCCTCCTGTCCGTCTCCTCATCCATCCTCCTGTCTGTCCTTCCCGCCATTCCTCCCATCCATCCTCCTGTTCCGTCCTCCTCATCCTCCTGGGGTCCGTCCCTTTTCCCGGCTCAGCTTCTCTCCGTCCATCCTCCCGTCCATCCTCCCATCCAGTCCCTCCCCGTCCATCTCCCATCCATCCTCCTGTCTGGTCCCTCCCGTCCATCCTCCCAATCCCATCCCTTCCTGTCCCGTCCTCCCTCCATCCTCCTGGTCTGTCCGGTCCGTCCATGCCTCCGTTGTCCTATCCTCCCATCCAGTCCTCCCGTCAGTCTTTCATCCATCCTCCTGGTCAGTCCTCCCATCCGTCCTCCCGGTCCATCCTCCCATCAGTCCTCCCATCCGTCCTCCCGTCCACCCAGGCCAAAACAGATGCCCATGGGAGCACTGGGGGTTCTGGTGTGGCTTGCACACCAGCTCTCGGGGCCCGCGGGGCTTCAAGGGCGCCGATGCCGTGGCCCGTGCACACGTGGGCCTCAGT